CAAGTAGCTGGGACCACAGGCACCCGCCACAACACCTGGCTAATTTTTGGTTGCAGCCATCATTGTTGTTTGATGGGCCCAGGCTGGATTCGAACCCGCCACCTTAGGTGTATGTGGCTGGCACCTTAGCCACTTGAGCCACAGGCACGGAGCCAAAAAACTGAATATTTAAATAGTAAAAATATATGTTTATATTTCTCTTTTTAAGAAGACACTTAATAACAATATTTCAGAAGACTGGATTTAAACCTCCCACCCCCACCTGGCCCTGCCAGTTGTTCACCCTGGCACAGATGCATTAAGGCAAAGGCTCCTGGAGAAGTGTGTCCAACTTGGTTGTGGGCTCAAGATGAACATGCTCTGCAGGGTCAAGAGAAGGGCTTCTCCCTCATGTTCACTGAGCCATCCTGCATCTGGAAATAAACCCTCTCAGCCATGTTGATGAACAGACCTGTGTCCACCACACCTGGAATCATTTTGATAGCTGTGTTCACTTCACTCCATTTGTGTACCCGGTCAAACTTCCAATCCAAGATAAAATTCCCATTATCTGTCACCACAGGACCTGCATTGTTAACAGCCATTCGAAGTACCACTGCACCCCCAAACTTCTGGCTCACAGCTCGGCTCACTGGGACGTAGGCCATTGGTATGACCTGAATGGGGATTCTCTTGTGCCACTGATCCCCAAGGTTCTTAGAATCTTTCCTGAAATCAGCGATCACGATGAAGCGACTGGCATAGCCAGCCATGATCTTCTCCTGGGTCAGGCAGCCTCCACCACCCTTGATGAGATTGAGATCAGCATCTACTTCATCAGCACCATCAATGGCGAGGTCAATCTCTGGGTGTCAATCCAGATCCCTGGGTGTCAGGCCATGCTCCAGGATGAGCTGACGGGCCTGGAAGGAGGTGGGAATGCAGATGAGGTTCACATTCTATTGCTTCACTCTTTCGGCTATTCGCTGCACAGCATGGACAATTGTAGAGCCACTTCCAATTCCCAGCACTTGGTTGGTTATTCCTCACGTGGTTCTCCACTGCAGCAAGGCCAGCCAGCTTCTTGGGCTCTTCGGCCTTGGACATTGTGGAGGGGGCCAGCCTTGGACATTGTGGAGGGGGCTGGGCAGACGCTGTTGGAGTCCCCGACGCTGGTACTTGAGCTTCCAGCACCATCTCAGGTCCCCGACTGTGCACGCCCTGGCAGCTGCACATGCGAGCCCAGGAGGCCCCAGCTGTTCCTACCTCCCTCGGAGGCCACGCCCTCAGCCCCCAAACATCTATACTTCTCAGAATAATTTACCAATTCAATGCCATCCTTATTAAAATACCAACATACTATTTTCAAGACTTGGAAAAAATGACTCTGCATTTTGTATGGAACCAGAAAAAACCCTGTATAGCTAAGGCAGTCCTTAGTAATAAAAACAAAGCTAGAAGTATCACCATACTAGATTTTAGGCTGTACTATAAGACTATAGTGGTCAAGACAGCATGATACTGGCACAAAAATAGAGACATAGACATTTGGAATAGAACAGAAACCAGGAAATGAAAACAGCCACCTAATCTTTAATAAACCAAACAAGAGCGTCCACTGGGGGAAAGACTCCCTGTTTAATAAATGGTGCTGTGTTGGGTGATGTTCTTTCTTGTGGGGAGAGAAGGATGGCTTGGCTGCGGGTGCAAGCTCACTCCTAGAATTATATGAAAGCAAGAAATGACTACGGCTCGGCGCCTGTGGCTCAAGTGGCCAAGGCACCAGCCATATACGCCTAAGGTGGTGGGTTCGAATCCAGCCCGGGCCTCCAAAACAACAATGACGGCTGCAACCAAAACAAAAAACAGCCAGGTGTTGTGATGGGCACCTGTGGTCCCAGCTACTTTGGAGGCTAAGGCAGTAGACTCTCTTGAGCCCAGGAGTTGGAGTTTTGCTGTGGGCTGTGATGCCACAGCACTCTACCCAGGGGACAGCTTGAGGCTGTCTCAAAAAAAAAAAAAAAAAAAGAGAAATGACTACATACTCTTAGATGGCATGTAGCAAAATGTCTTTATTTTCCACTCCCCTTTATTGGGAGCTAGTCACGTACACCACATTGATCAATAATCCTAACATCCTCAATTCTTATCTTAAACTACAGAAAAGAAGGAAAGTCCAGGAAAATGAGATAACCATCATAAGATTAGGCTAAAGAAAGAAAGTCCGGAAAGTAAGACAACCATCTTAAGCTAGCCTCAGGCTATTCCTCTCTGAAGACCTAAAAGAACTATACATTATCTGACTTCTAGTGTTAAAGTTAAAGGTTAGGATAAACAGAGGAGTAAAACCTTTCTCTTCTATATACTCAATTAAATTTCCAAGAAACAGGCTCCAAGACTGTTTTCTTATGGTTTGGAGACCCTGCAGTTAAGATGGAATGTTTTACTCAACATCATTATGATGGAGTTTTTCTTTTCACTCACATCAACCTTTGAGTCATGTCCTCTGCACAGATGGGCCGTTTCAACCCTTATCTGACAGGCTGACTTGACTACACAGTTGGGGTTCCCTGTAGGAGGTTTTTACGCCTTGCCTGCAGGTCCCCACCGTGTTTTTCCAGGTCGCTTAAGGCTTCAACAAAAGCTCATAATACTCACAAGTCTTTTCGCTCAGTGTCTGGAATTAAAAGAGCACATTTAATTTAATTTTTGTGGGGGTTTACCCCACAGTGCGGGGAAAATTGGGTGTCTACATGTAAAAGACTGAAACTGGACCCGCACCTTTCTCCACTCACCAAAATTGATTCAAGATTGATAATGGACTTAAATTTAAGGCAAAAAACAATAAAAATCCTCAAAGAAAGAATAGGAAAAACACTGGAAGATATCGGCCTGGGGAAAGACTTTATGAAGAAGACTGTCATGGCAATAGCAACAACTGCAACAATAAACAAATGGGATTTAATAGGGTGACCAGATTTTATAATCGATAAGGTGGGACAACATGGCCGGGGTGGGGGCGGGGCAGGGGACGGGGCAGGGGACGGGGCAGGGCAGGGCTTGACAACAATGCAAACTTTGATAAGCAGTTCTTGATAATCACTTCTCAGCAATTATTTGTTATTATTACAGTTTAACATTATAAAATTAACAAAAATAATATAAAACTCATATTCTGGCAAAATAGCCACATGGCAGCCGAAAACCGTATATTCCCTTCTTGTTCTCCCACCCATTCGTGCATTCTTTCCAAAAATCGGGACTTTTTTAAAATGCCGCAGAACGCAGGACAAATTGTTGAAAAGCAGGACTGTCCCGCCAAAAGTGGGATGTATGGTCACCCTAGATTTAATTAAATTGAAAAGCTTCTGTACAGCCAAAGAGATACCAGCCAAAGCAAATAGACAACCTACCCAATGGGAAAGGATATTTGCATATTTTGAATCAGGCAAAAGTTTAATAACTAGAATCTATATAGAACTTCAATTAACCCACAAGAAAAAAACCCAACAATCCCATATATCAATGGGGAAGATAGATGAATGGCTGCCAAATACATGAAAAAATGCTCATCATCCCTAATTATTAGAGAAATGCAAATTAAAACCACCCTGAGATATCATCTAACACCAGCGAGAATGGCCTATATCATAAAATCTCAAAATTGCAGATGCTGGTGTGGATGTGGAGAGAAAGGAACACTTTTACACTGCTGGTGGGAATGCAAACTAATACACCTTTTTGGAAGGATGTATGGAGAAAACTCAAAGTGCTCAACCTAGACCTATTTGATCCTGCAATCCCATTACTGGGCATGTATCCAGAAGGGAAAAAATCCTTTTATTATAAAGATACTTGTACTAGGCTGTTTATTGCAGCCCAATTTATAATCGCTAACATGTGGAAACAGCCTAAATGTCCTTTAACCCAGGAATGGATAGGCAATTCCATGGTATACTATGGAATATTATTCAGCTATTAAAAAAATGGAGATTTTGCAGCATTTGTACTAACGTCGATGGAGGTGGAACACAGTATCATTTTTTTTTTTTTTTTGGAGACAGAGCCTCAAGCTATCCCCCTGGGTAGAGTGCCATGGCATAGATCACTGCAACCTCCAACTCCTGGGCTCAAGCGAGTCTCCTGCCTCCGCCTCACAAGTTGCTGGGACCACAGGTGCCCACCACAACGCCTGGCTATTTTTTTTTCGGTTGCAGCCATCATTGTTTGGCGGGCCCAGGCTGGATTTGAACCCGCCACCTTAGGTGTATGTGGCTGGTGCCTTAGCCACTTGAGCCACAGGCGCTGACCTGGAACACATCCTTAGTGAAGCATCACAGGACTGGAGAAGTATGAATCCTATGTATTCAACTTTGATATGAGGACATTTAATGACAATTAATGACATGGTGGGGCATGGGGGAAGGGGTGAGCAGAGAGAAAAGGAGGGAGGGGTGAGGGTAAGGACAAGGAAAAAAAAAGAAAATAGTGACTAATTCTCACATAAATTGGATTCAATTTTGACTCAAGGCTCAGCACCTGTGGCTCAAGTGGCTATGGCGCCAGCCACATACACCTAAGGTGGTGGGTTCGAATCCAGCCTGGGCCCACCAAACAACAATGACGGCTGCAACCGAAAAATA